TGCAGGCTCCCCCATCAAACGCCTCTGCTGCTGAGCAATTGTTAATGGTTAGTGACCTCCTGCTCCCTGGTTCCATCTGTTGAACATTGCCATTGATTTCTCTTCTCTTGTTATGTGACAATCCAAAGCTGCTTCTTGGTTCATCTCCTGAGAGGCCATGGAGGCACCGGCCCAATGGAGCAGACACTGTGGAATTGCAACTTTGCAGAGAGTCAGACGCAGCAGCCTCAGTGCAGCCAGAATGTGCTGGATCAGTTCTCTCTTGCGGTGCCATGAAACACTCCTGCTTCTCACTCCAACACACTAATAGAGCTTGTTTTACTTTGTTGCTGGAAAATAGTTTTTACTGTGAGCAGGTGCCCTTGTGGAATTGGAAACAAGCAGGAATATGGGCATTGCCATAATGTCTTAGCTCATAACTAGTCTGGTAGTCCTGCCTTTTTCACTGGTCCGTACCTGTTGCTTCAGAGGAAAGAAAAACCACATAATACACTTAGCCTGGGATCCTGATCTTAGGGAAAAGTCTGTAAGAAATCTCTGGGCATGTAGCAACTTCACAGTGCTGCACATCTCAGCCACACTGAATTCCAAGACAACAGCAGGACTAGAACTCAGCTCCTTCTGCTCCAAATCCTCCTTTCCTTATGAGCTCCAGGAAAATCTCCATTTGCGATCACAGTAAAAGGCCTATGGCAGTCCGCTAAAAAGTTCTGGTTCTGCCCAGTAGAGGGCAGCAGTACCCATGCCCATTAGCCAGTTCATTACATTGAGATTCCAATCTCAGAAACAATATGAAACATAGGAATCTACTGACACTATAAAGCTTGTGTCTGAGCTGTGAAGGAACCTGAAGTGCTCTTCACATGTATGTCAGGGTGGATAAAAATTGAGAATTTTTTTGACTAAATCAAAATAAATCCGATTTTTTTATTTAAATCGGATTTTTTTTTGGTTTTATTTAAATTATATTTTTTTCTTTTAATTTTAAACAGGTTTATATTTAAAATCTAAAGATGCTGAATTCAGGCGCCTCTATCAAACACTTTGAGTTAAAATCTGCTTTTTCTATATAAAGAAAGATGATTTCTCCCTTGATTCTAACTTTTGAGGTCAAGCTTTATAAATACTGCGCAGTAGGTCAGCCTAAGTAACTTAGGAGACTGTCTCATTTTCAAGAGACTTAGGCAAATAGGAAGTTAAGCTCCAGCCACTTTCACTTAGGCATATTTGAAAATTTTCCCAAGCTGACCTGAAATAATCAGTGTAATTCACTGACTACAGTTAATCCCTCTTTTTAATAAATCATTTAGTTGTAATGTGAAACATGTTTTCATAAGAAAAGTTTATATATCCAAAACACTTTAGGTTGTTTTCTTTAATAAAAATAAATTTTATATGCTGTTTTGTGTGTTCAGTTAAATTCCAGGTACCACCCTAATGCAGTAGTTTGACACAAAGCAGGAGCAAAAAGTTGATTATCTAGTAAATAAGCAATATATCATTCATCATTTTCTAACATATTAAAAATGGACACTTAATAAGCATCTGAGAATATTAAGCTACATAGTTGCTTATATAAATGAATATAATTATAGTATACTTCCTAGGTAGCAAAATGGTGTGCCAAATCTAGTGTAAATGCTCTATTTTGTTGTAAATTAACAAGTTTAATGATTATATCAACCAATGAGAATGCACCTTTCTTTAGAAAAGAACTGAAGTGCAAAAGGAAAACTGGATTAAAATCAATTAGTTAAATGGTGGCTTTTCATGAGGTAATTTAAATCATGATTAAAGTTGTGATTTGTATTGCCTTCATTTAAAATCAATCCACCCTGATATATATACTATGTGAACATACTATATATAAACTATTACATATCCCTTGAAGTCTGCTAGGTACTTTGCAATTGCCAGTCTAACATGAAAGCTACTCAGATGCTCTAGTGATAAGCAATATTGCAAAACCCAAAGATACATTAACTTTTCCTACATTTTTCCCATCTCTGCAAGTGATCAAAATATGCACAACATTTTGCACCTAATTGAGATTCTGTGTCATGCACAATATCTTTAACTTATTTTTGAATTCCAGGATACCATCTGTTTGCCTTAGGAAAAACCTAAACCTAAAACAAAACCTACTAGGAGGTTACAAAATTAAGGAGCAGGAAGCTATAAAGTTCCAGTTGAAAACTGAGCCTTTTTTGAGCTATGATAGTGCAAAACCAAAAATATCTGCACATTTAAAAAACAAAAAACCCTCTCAGTTTAAAAAGTGCTGTTGTGATCTAGTAGATTATACACAGCACTGAGAGTCAGGGGAATCGGATTGTGTTTCTGGGCAGGTCTTCACTACAGGGAGGAGTCGATTTAATATATGCAAATTCAGCTACGCGAATAGCGTAGCTGAATTCGACCTATCGGAGCCGACTTACCCCGCTGTGAGGACGGCGGCAAAATCGACCTCCGCGGCTCCCCGTCGACGGCGCTTACTCCCACCTCCGCTGGTGGAGTAAGAGCGTCGATTCGGGGATCGATTGTCGCGTCCCGACAAGACGCGATAATTCGATCCCCGAGAGATCGATTTCTACCCGCCGATTCAGGCGGGTAGTGTAGACCTAGTCTCCATCTCTGCCACTGCTTCAAGATGTGGCCCTGAGCAAGTCCCTTACCTGTTTTCTGCCTCAATTAATTGAACAGGTAAAACTGGGATAAAGATGCTTCTCCACCTTTTTTAGATGTGGCATAGCCCCAACTTGTGGACCCTGCAGGTATCAGACGGGAAATAGGCTAGAGAGGGACATGGAGACAGACTATTTTGGAGTTCTCCAAGTAAGACATTGAATCCAATCTCCTCCATTAAGTTGCTGATGGAACAGTTAAATGAAAGCCTTTTGCTAAAACCTGAGAGTCCCTGCATGCTCAGGAATACTACATAAGGCTCTCTGAGATCTATGGGGAAGAAGTGCTATGGACACACAAATTTCCTTCTTGTCTGAGGCCTTAAATGGCAAGCCTAGAGCACATCTTTACAGCTGAGTTGAAAACCATGTAAATACAAACGGGATTTATAGAACACATATCACTCATCAAGCAACATAACCAATGTAGAGCAATATTTTGCATGCCATTAGTTACCAGAGAGATATCTTGTAGCAAGACAGTTTGTAGCCATGGCGGTAACCAATTGACATTTATGAGAAGTCTTGTTTTACAAAGGATTTTCTTTGAGTTGAATGCCAGAGCTCCAATTGTGCCTAAGAAACAGGAATTAGTTAGCATTGTTGGTATTCAAAAGGCATTCTGGTATAACTAGCAACACAGACAAAGCCTGCAGGGTTTTCAGTGATGTTTGTACATGCCTGGGGTGGTAAATCGTATGGGTTGGCGGTAACTGAAAAGAAAAGGTGCCTTTGACTAATATTGCCGATTATAAAGCTCACCTTTAGGAGTTTAATGTTGCAGAGTGCTCTGTGAAAGTGGAGATGGGTGTGGTTTTAAGCCCATGGAATCCTGATAACACAGGTCTAAAGGCAAAGCTGTCCTTGGTTAACCCATTGGGTTCAAGTATCCTGGTTGCTGTGGTTCTCTAAAAGAAGACCTCTGAACTTCGAGTCAGCTCTGCTATCTCCCATACAGAGAGCTGAGCTAGTCCTGGAGGAAGTGTCTGCTTTACAGGTATAAGACCTCGGACGCATTGTGAAGATTGCATCCTGGGGAGATTGTAGCTCGCTCTGGGAGATACTGGAGGATTCTGTTTCGGCAACACCTACAGCGCTTGTCAGGGCACGAAATAGTATTGAATTGGATAGAGAATCCTCTCAACACACAGAAATCTGCCTTGGCCTTAAGATAAGAATATTCTTAATACTGCGTTACCCTTAAAAAGTCAACTTTGAAAGTGCTGCTATGAGGCTTTCCCTGCATGACTTTCGTTGACTTTAAAGGGAGCAGCCAAGCCACTGCCTTACTCCCTGAGAGTGTCTGTATAATACAGGACTGGAAGTTTCAAAAGCCCCCTACATGACTTAGGCACAAGTCCCACCGACAGCCAATAGGACTATTCACGTGTTTAAAGTTATGCATGTGTTTCAGTGCTTTGCTGACTCGGATTCTGAATGCCTAACAGTGCATAGAGATCTCACACTTTTGGTCATAGTGGCTTGCCCATAGGGGCACTCTGTAAAACTCCCGGCTGGCCATGGAGAAGCTTCCCTGAATCCATGGAAGTACTCTCATGCATTTCAGTGCAGCCACAGTCTACATGAGTTTGGAACAGGCCTGGTCTATGCTTAAATTTTAGTGGTATAATTATGTCTGTGGATAGCTGTACTTGTATAAAGCACCTTTATATCAATATAGCTGTGTCCACATTGGGGGTGTAATACCATTTTAATTATACCGGCGTAGGTAAACTGGTGCAACTCTCTAGTGTAGATGAGCGCAGGTGGGAAAGATCCAGGCCAAATTTTTCCCCGGTGTAACGCCAGTGAATTCAGTAGAGTTACACCATGGAAGAACTTGACCTGCCAGGCTTTAAACTATTTCAGCTATGGTTGAATCTTTGCTTTGATGCATCAACCACTTCCTTGTAACTTGTAGAGAAGTTTTCCCTGGCACTGCTTGGTGGCCAAGCAAAGCATCAAAGACGGGGGGGCAGACGTATGAAACGTCTGGGCTGTCTCTCATAGTCTGTGCGGGACTAGCGGTCTCTCTTGTTCACTCCGCACCTTGGCCTCATTTTTCAGGCGGGAGCAATCCACTCTATGTAGCTGAGTCAAAGCCGCGCTGTTCAGTGAAAGTTGGTAGGGTGTTATTTCTTCGTCTCATGCAACTTTTTCTTTTCCTGGTGCCAGGGAAGGGAAACCAGGGAATGAAACCCTTTGCTGGGACAGAGCTTCGAGGGAGCATGCCTGCAGGGCTTTAGCGGCAGCTCTCGATGTTTGCCAAGCCTGTAAATGAAGGACCCTGAAACACACTTTGTTTCTCTCTTGCAGATGACGGAGGGCCGCCGATGTCAAGTGCACCTCCTCGATGACAGGAAGCTGGAACTTCTCGTGCAGGTAATAAATTATCTCCACTGATGGCAGCGTTTGCCACAGCTCTGAATTCTGGGCCATATGAAGTAAATTGGGCTTGTAGCAAGCTCCCTGCTATTCGGCTACTTTGTGCTGGGATCCTCTTGGATCTTGCAAGCTAAGCAGCATCAACTTGGGCCCGGACTTTAGAGAATGGGAGACATCCAGGGTGCTGCAGGAAGTGTTGGCAGTGATTCATTATCTGGCACTCTTCACTCTGTGTCAGAGCACGACTAGTGCTCCAAAATGGTGCTGGGACCACTGTCTTTTGGGTGGGATGGAAAACCAAAGTCCGGGCCGCTTGTGGTCCTTAATAATCCCATGACACCTTCTGAGGCATTAACCATCATGTCCTGGCCAAATTTCAGCTCCAGGAACAACATTCTGCCTACCTAAAATTCCCTCTGCAGTGTCAATTGCACGCACACTGTTCTTCACTTCCTAAATCATCGCTGGGTGATGTTAAACTGCTGTCGGAGATGGCAGCGCTTCAGTCGTGGGTGAAGTGACCCGCACATATGTAGTTTGCATGTCAGTTTAGGTTTATAGTACATGCTTCAAGATAAAAGGCAACATATGGAAATGTAAGAGGTGATTTATCTTTGGAGATATTTCAGAATATACCTATTGGGATTCATGAATATGCCGTAAACATGTGTGCAGTCCAACTAGAGCTATTTCATTCTTCTGATTGCTGGGATTTGAACTTACATCTCCCAGATATCTGTTTTAAATCTTTGGCTACTTTTTCTCCTTCCTCTGTACTATTGTAGAGTAACCACCCTGAGGTCCCTGTCAGGATCAGAGCTTTATTGTACACAACACCATATGAAGACATCACCCCTACCCCCCAAAATGTATACTCTGACCCCCAAACTAACCCCTGCAGCTTGATGAGAGATCACTCAGCAGTAGGTTGGAAATCTCTGGGCTAGCCTGCCTTAATTGCATAAGACCTGTGAGGGCCCGCGGGAGGTAGGTTCTTAGTACAGATACTTCACTCTGTATGCTTGGGGATTCTGAAGGTACATCATCAGTCAGGACTGAGCTCCTCCTAGAAAAGCAGGAGCTGACAGTTCATGCCACATGTCATAGGAAAGGGAGCATTTCCTGACAGTCACGGTAAGGTCCCAGGTTTGACCTGTCACAGGGTAGCTGGCCCTTCGGGTCAAGGGGAGACTGCTACTGAAGCAGGCTGGCTCCTGCAGGAGGCCCTGGAGCACGGCATGACTCTCAGACAAACAGCCTGTGGAGTGGAATAAACAGATGGACGCCCCTGTAGAAGACCCCGGGCTCAGGGAAGGGATGATTGATGCGCTGTGCTAGTTTGATGTGGAAGAAGTACAGCTGAAATCCTGGGAAAGGGGCCTGACACAGACCCTGGGCATGGTGTCACTCCTTTCTGGGCTGAGGGGACAGGCCAGCAGCCTATAGGGCCTAGATCCTAATGCTGATGAAGTGATGTGATGTTACTAATAGAGCATGTGTGCACCTACCTGCTGCAGTGACTCCTCCGCCTGCCAGGAACCCTCTGGGTCTTTCTGCTCACTGCCTACTGACTAAGGTCCTGGTCCCGCAAGTCCTTGAGCAGGTCACGGGAGGCTGGGTGAGGTGATTGGCCTATAACAGTCGTGTGAGTGGAGGAAGCGACATGTGGGCACATGGCCTCCACGCTGAATGGGAATAAGCTTCCGTCCCCACGTCCTCGTACACCTGTCCTCTTGCCCAGAGTAATGAAATTGGCCGGGGGTGGGCTGAGAGTGGCAGGAATGTCTGAGGAAATCTGTGCTTACCTTTGATCCTTCTCATGCAAATGAATGGCTGAGATACATGCCCCCTGCTTAGCCATGAACCCGCTACTCAGCAGGAATAATTCGGTAGCCATTCAGCACAGCTCTCATTAATACAGGGCTGGGTTCCCCTGCTCTTCCTTTCCTGTTTAGCACTATTTTACCTTTCACTTACATGTGTAATGCTCCCCACCTACACTGGGTAGGATCAGTACCTAAACGCATCATCTCTTTAAGGTACAGTAGCACACATAACAAATCGATACCTGACAAGATATTCTTCATCTGCACACTTTTAATATCCAGGCATACAGGTGTATGGTGCTAGGATTTCCCTAATGTACATAGATCCACTAACTCGGTTTGTAGACTTCATTCATTGACTAGAATGAATTCATTTCTAAAATGTAACATATTTCCACTCATATGCCCATTTCTTGGACAGGAAGCTATACCACTGTATAGCTACAGAGAGCCAGAAACGGAACCAGACTTTCAAAAGTGTTCAGCACCCACAATTAGGAGTAGATCTTTCAAAAGAATCAAGCTGGTAGGAAAATGCCAATTATTTGCCACAGGAAATTTAAAAACATTATTGCTTTCATCAGAATTTCCCATGAAAATGTTAGTTAAAAAATAATAATTAATGGAGATATCCCATCTCCTAGAACTGGAAGGGACCTTGACAGGTCATTGAGTCCAGCCCCCTGCCTTCACTAGCAGGACCAAGTACTTATTTTGCCCCAGATCCCCAAGTGGCCCCCTCAAGGACTGAACTCACAACCCTGGGTTTAGCAGGCCAATGCTCAAACCACTGAGCTAACCCTCCCCCCATAGTTTCCCATTGAAAAATCAGAAACATAAAAAGAAGTTCGTTTTTTTCAAAACCATTTTGGTGGTGGTGTTTTTTATAAATGTTTTCTGGTTTTTAATCCCCAAACTGGAAAAGTCTGACAAAAATGTTCCCCATGCAAGCTGCTGGGTGCTAAGTTCTTATGAAACATCTGGCTATTTATTTAGGTGCCTAAATCGGGACCTGAGCTTTCTTGAAAATCAGAACCTGATTGCAGCTGCTGATCCCTCTGGAAATTCTGGCATGTCTCTCAGAGATCTCCAAAGGGTTAATAATAAGAATTAGAAAAATGACTTTCCTCTTACAAACGCTACAGCAGCACTAGAAACAGGAAATGAAACTTCCCATAGCACTCAAATTAATGTCCGGCAGCTGATAAGCTTGGGGTGGGCAGGATGAGTGTTTGCTTTGCTATAGCAAACAGGGAGAAGATGAATGGGGTCTTTTGGAACCAATTTGAATCACAGGAAATGCATTTCAGCACTGATTTGTAGGTGACTCTGGATAGTTGTTCAAAAATCGTAGGCAACAAAAAATAAAGGGTAACATTTTCAAACACACCTAAGTCCCATTTTCAAAAGGGATGTAGGTGTTCAGGAGCCTATATACCACTGTCTTTCAATGAAAGTTGGGCTCCTAAGCACCGAAGTCACTTGTGAAATTGGGACTTGGGTTCCTAAATCATGTGGGGGTACATTTTCACAGCCTGCGGCGGTCCATGACAGCAAGCCGCCCAGCCGGGGTTGACAGGTGTGGATTTGCGGGCTTGTGCTAGCGCTCTAAAAAGAGCTCTGTAGACAGCACTTTGACATTGCGATTCAGGCTTGAGCTCGGGCTCTGAAGCCTAGGGAGGGGGTGGGCTTCAGAGCCTGAGTTCTAGCCCCATCCACACCTTTGAAGTGCTGTCTACACGGCTAGTTTTAGAGCACTAGCACAAGCCCCACACACCCAAGTCTTTCAACCTGAGCAAGCTGTGTAGATGAACCCTCAGGAGCCTCTAGAAATTTTACCCAGAGTCTCTAGATTAACAGACGTATATGAATATTGCAAACCGCTCTAACGAGGCACTGGTCACAATTTTAATAATTACAGCTAGAGGTATATTGCAGGAAAGTACACAGGAGTGTGCCGGGGAAGAACATTGATGGGTTTGCTGTGGCAGTATTGGCGACTCTGTTTATTTGCTTACTTACCAGCAACATTTTGTTTACAAGAAAGTTTACGGAAGGAGAAACATGTGAATGTTCAGGAGGCCATCTTAAAACTTTTGGTGAATTGTGGAGTCAGTGAATCAAAAAGCAGAAACACCACCATGTGACTGAAGTGATTGCCCACAGAGTTTGCATGGCAATGACCAATAATCATAACTTGATGCAAATAACACAATAAATCATAGTAAATAGTTTGCCGGTGACCCATTGGCTGGGTTTGGGCCATGCAAAACCATCCATTGGATATTTTCAAATAACGTGCCAGCTTGTAAAGTGAGAAGTTGTGGAATCTCCATCTCTGGAGATATTTAAGAGTAGGTTAGATAAATGTCTATCAGGGATGGTCTAGACAGTATTTGGTCCTGCCATGCGGGCAGGGGACTGGACTCGATGACCTCTCGAGGTCCCTTCCAGTCCTAGAATCTAGAATCTATGAATAAGTCTTATCATGGAAAATTAATGACTGAAAAAAGGGATTACATTTGCTTTATAACTGATCTTTGCAAGTAGTTCACCCATCTCTGTGAATAACACTTTGGGGCTTATATAGCCCCTTTCATCTGAGGATCTCAAAGTGTCTTCCACTTTAGTTCCATTCTCTAGCATTATAATTATTTGGCTCATCATATTCATAAAGGGATGTAGAGAACAGGCTGCTTTTAGTTAGAGCAAGGAGCTGGGAAGCAGGGATCAATTATTGCCTCTGCCACTGATTTTCTTTGTAGACTTGGACAAGACTTCCCTTTACATTTATCTGTCTATAAAACGGGGGTAATATCACCTGTCTCACAGGGGTCTTGAGACTTAATTATTTGGGACTAGATTGTGAGACCCTTACTCTGATTGAGTAGCACCTGACTCCTTCCTTAGTCCCGTTGTATCCAGTGAGAATACTAAGGTACTCAGGTACTCAGTGTAAGTAAGGGAATCACAATCTGGCCCTTAAAAAGAACAGGAGTACTTGTGGCACCTTTAGAGACTAACAAATTTATTTGAGCATAAGCTTTCGTGGGCTAAAACCCACTTCATCGGATGCATAGAACTGAACACACAGAAAGAAGATATTTATACATACAGAGAACATGAAAAGGTGGGAATAGCCATGCCAACTGTAAGAGGCCAATCAATTGA